TATATCTGTTTATATCTATATCTATATCTATATAATATCTATATTTATATCTATATCTACATCTTTTTCTATCTATATATATATATATGTACAGCTATGATAATATATGTACACATATGTAACAATGTCACAGGCACACATGTCTGTGTATATTCGTATGACGGCCATTCACCAACAGAAATAGAGAGGCACATAGAATGCATCACATGTGTGTCGAGGGGCCCTTCTTGGAGCTGCTGGGTTTCGTTTCGATTAGATTGAGATTTGCTTGGGTTCAGGCCACGGGCTATTGTAAGCAGGATAGTGGAGGGTCCATTATATGTCGAGGAGGGCTGGGCTGGGAGTCCTGCTTCGAGGTTCATCTTGGACTTCAGTGGGTCTTCTACAGGACTGTACGGGGTTTGGCGGGATTTCTCGGGGGTCGATAAGGAGGTTGCGGGATTTCGATGATTTGGCACTGGCTGTGTAGGTTTCCCTACAGTATAGGAAGGGTTGACAGTAGCTTTGCCTTTAGATTGCAAGAGTTCCGGCTGTTTTTGTACTGTTTCCAACTACTTTTGGGTAGGTTTGATAGATTTTAAGCTAAAAATGCAGTGCCGTAAAAAAGCGTAAAGTGCCATAAAAAAGCGTAAAAGTGCCATGAAAAACGTAATTCTAAAATCCTTAACTTCTGCACCACTACCCTACGTTACGTTTGCACTGGTTCACAGGTTTTTGCAAGTGTTTAATCATGGCGGGGAAGGCCAGGCCTCTACGCCTCCAAACCCGGTCGATCAGCTGTGCTACCCTCTACGCGGGTCAATCCTTCATGGAAGCACAAGATATTAAAGAAGAAGCTCCGCCGGGACGAGAGGACATCGAAAACGATTTGCGAGTATCTCTACTGCATAGTGAACCCTTGAGAACCCTCTTCAGAAACTCCTGTGTATAAACAACCTCCCCAACTATATACCGATCCGAGGCAGCCCAGAAGGCTTTGGATGAGCTGAAGGCTCGAGCTCGCAAGATGGAGCCCGATTACAAGGAGTCGGGACACGGAGTGGGATTTGCCGCCCCGGTAGAACCGGCCCCTCGACCAGTGGCCACCCCTGCCAGAGTTGCCACCCCGAAGCAAAAGGGCATCCATCGACCAGTGTCCAGTGATGCACAACCTGTAGTCTTCCCAGAAGATGCCGATACCCTCGTGGGTGCTGCGGAGCCCGAAGACCCAAAAAAGCCCTCAGCTCCCAAGCCTTCGGATCCCAAGTGTACAAGAGCTCCGGAACCCAAGCATTCAAAAGCACGGGAACCCAAGCATTCAAGAGCACGGGAACCCCAGCATTCAAGAGCACCGGAACCCGAGCATTCAAGAGCACCGGAACCCGAGCATTCAAGAGTATCGGAACCCGAGCATTCAAGAGCATCGGAACCCGAGCATTCAAGAGCACCGGAACCCGAGCATTCAAGAGCACCGGAACCCGCCGAAAGCTCGGACGACGAGTTGATCATGGATGTAGATTGTGTCTCTAGGCAGCATACAAGGCCTATTCCGGTAACATTTCATTATCTATGGATCGTCTTCAATAATCCTGATAATGAACCCGAAGCAGTGCAGCCGGTGACTCAGGACTTCCACGAGCTTCGCGAGCTTCTCCATGCTAGTTTGGTCAAAGAGGAGCCACCCATGACGCCCACAGCATCTTACCTGAATACTTAGTGTACGTTTGGTGCTTGCAGGATTCTTTATGTGTTTCGAAAGGGTCCATGAGCATGGTTATCACAGGTGCCCGATGATGCTATGGAAGAGCGCAATGATGTCTATTTGGAAGCCGACAAGGGCAAGGATCATATGCCGCCTGCAGCGGATGATGCTCAGATTGCAGCACCCCTTCCTTCTGCTTCGACACGCCGAAAGTTGTTTCATAGCCCCGAAGCACACCCAGTGTCCGAAGCCAGACCTGCTGCACCCCAAGCCGAGCCTGCTGTATCAACCCCGAGAAAGCCCACCTCAACACGAAGCTTGAGCCCCTCTGGCTCCCCGGTGAAGTCTTCGAAGAGGGGTCGAGGTCGTAGTGAATCCCCTCACAAGACGGCAGCCCACTGAAGCCCAGCCCCCGAAGCACCCAAGCTCCGAGAGCCCGGTGTGAGGCGGGCAAGCCCAGCTGAGAGAAAGCCTCGAGGTCCCACCCCTGACAAGACGAAGCCTCGGGAACCCAGCGCAAGCCTCAAGCACAGCTCTCCAAAGCCCAGCGCAACCCCTTCGAAGACAAAGCCTCGAGAACGCGTGGCAACCCCCGAGACTGCCGGATCGAAACCCCGCACCCCTCACCAGAGCCCGACTGAAGCCTCCACACCCTCAACTACAACGAAGCATGGCAAGAAGAAGGACCCCAAGGCCCGCCCCACATATTTAATATTATATGTATATGTATGTATGTATNNTAAGGGCGTGATCCGAACTGCCACCACAGCGTCTATCTCCATATATAATGTATAATATGATATATCACATAACTTACAATATTATATGTATATGTATGTATATATGTATATATATATATATGTATATATATATATACATATATATATATGTATATATATATATATATTTACCAATTATAAAGTATATGGTAACCATACATCTCATACATCCCCATTTTCGTATCCTCTACAGAACCCTATATAGCCCCTATAGGCGAAGAGAAGCGGCGCAATCCGCATCACCGCCCGTGAGTACAAGAACTATGGAGCCACTCTGCGACGAATGTGTGTTCCATCGGCCAAGAAAGGCACCTTGCAGGTGAGTGGGGAGGTGGCTGACAGATGGAAGAACACCAAATCGAGGAAGCAGTTGATCGTGGCTCTCATCAATTGCAAGGGTGACAAAGCTACTCTATTGCAAAAGGCCAACATCATAATAAACATTCGCATTCGTGTCTCTCTTGCCGAAACACCGAAACTCAGGATGCTTTCAATCAGCGTATGGAGGTGGTGATCCGCAATGTCAAGGAAGGAAAAGTTGTCATCGACAGTGGCTACTACACCGAGTCGGCGATGAAGAACGAGCTGAAGTTCGACAAGCAACATGGTGGCATTTATTGTTATATATATATATGCTTACATGATTGGTCTCAGCAATAGAAAAAATGTTGCCGTTTCGCCATTCTATCACTACGTTCTAACTAGCAACCCAAGATCAATACTAAAATAAGAGCCTGTTCGGACCAAACCCAAGACCAACCCTAAAAATAAGAGCCCGCTCGGACCAAACATGAATGCTCATTGCATCGCCCAGTTATCGACACAGCCGAGGGATCGTGTCCAAGCGATCATCAAGTACTGCACGAAGACGAAAGCGCGAAGGCGGCAGCTCACCAGGCCTCCGAACACATGCCATACTTAGGGCGATTGGTCTTCATGATTCCCTGGGTGTGCTTATAGGATTGAGTTTTCAACTTTGCAGGAGAGACAAGTACCAGAAGCACATCCTGGAATACTGGATAGATTTGAAGACCTCGGGGAGCCTGTCGCGAAGTCACAAGGAAGAGTTCAACCAGTTCATCGAGATCATCGACGATGAAGCGGTGTTGCCGCCGCCCGTTTTGGGAAACGAGGCTTTGCCCTCCTATGAGGAGGAGGACGACGATGCTGATGACGACGATGAGTCAGAGGACGAGGAGGAGGATGATGATTGCAAGGGCTCTTCCACCCCGAAGAGCAGGCGAAGGAGGATGAAAAGGAGGAGGCGAACCCCGACTTCCGCGAAGAGCAAGAGAAGGCGAGAGGACAGAGAACACGAAGTGGAAATCGCTTTGGAGGTTTATTGTCTGAAATTTTGGTATGCTTGATTTCTCTTTTATGGTATGAACCCTATAGAACTCCCCAACCTCATATAAGCCCCTATTAAAAGCCCCAAAAATCCTTTATATTTTCTAAAGTTCCAAACCCTATCGCAGGCTTACTCCTAATCTAAGCCAAGCTGCAGGATATCCAGAAGATTCCCACGATTCTCAGCGAGATCCTCCGGGTTCGTGTTAAGACCGACAAGACCCTCGAGGAGCTGAAAAAGCGCAAAGATAAAGACAGCGACAAGTTATCTAGTTGCACTAGATATAATCCAACTTTCCTGCATCACTGTGCTTCTATCTAAGGGCCGGGGAGCTACTGGGCAAGCAGGCTGAGAATCTGATGGGCTTACATGATGAGCTCGCAGAGATCCGGGCAGAGTGCGGCAAGGACGATCCCAGCGCAGAGACTCCCGTCTATCATTATGTTGAATGTCTTCTTGCTTTTTTTTATTAGGCTTTTAAGCTTATGTCGCGTTTACCCCACTCAGGTCAATGAAGAAGCTGAAGACTGCGCTGGCTTCGGTTGAGAAGTTGTGCTCTACTCAGAACCCTATGCAAGCCTGTCCCAGTCCACAGCTGCAGCTCATCATGTCCCATGCAGTATGCAGCCGCTGCTGATGACATCCACCTCAATTTTCCCATGTCAGGACAAGCCGGATTACAATGGAAGAGAAGAAGTTGAGGAGGAGAACGGGGGTGTGTTTGTTCCTCGCAACCCTCCCCAAAATAAGGAGTCCTATATCCCGGGCCCCCCCACCAGTAGTGACACTCCTATTCTGTATCCCCATAGTATACATGTATATCTTGTACCTCAGCTCTAAGGACCATTCTGCGGCCGGTGCCCAAAGCCAAAGCCAACATCAAGAATCCGAACAAGGCCGAGGGTCAAGGCGAGCAGCACGATGAAGAGGATGATCACGCAGTGGGAAGGAAGCCGAAACCTAAAGGAAAAGCCAAGGCTAAGGTTGCACCGAAGCGCAAGTGTGCAAAGTAGGGAAGTAAGCTTGCCCTATTGTGTGATCGGGCCTACGGCTTATAAAGCACTATACTTCAATAAACTTTCTATGGGCTCAGGGTATATAGGGTTGAAAAGGCCCACCCGGGGGGGCAAGCTCTTCTCGCCACACTCACAAGAAAGTGTGATGTGGTAGCAAGGCTTCCGGTGTTCCAGATCATTCACATGATCACAAAGTTTCTGTTCCTGTGGGGCATCGAAAGCGCTATCCGAGTGGAAAACAATCGATCGACTGCTTGCTTCTTCATGCTTTACCCAAAGGCACCACTATAGGATTGCAAGACTTATGCTGCGCAGGTGCTGGAAGACCACTGGATCGGGAGCCCGGCGCCGCATCAACTGCCTTGGCGCGTGCTCGTGGATCAGGGGTGTGGACTTTAAATTCCCTTAAATCCATAACCCTTAATTTCGAAACTCCAGCCTTAAAATGCATACCTTATAACCCCTGAACCCGTGAACCTTACGAAATACCCCTCTTTCTACACCCTATATAATAGCCAGCCTAATCCTATATACCCTGAAGGTTTCTGACCGCCTGCTGTGTAGCATTGCTGCTGGTTTTGTTGATGAAGTTCGTGATGCTGACCCAGACTTAGCGGAGGATCTTCGAAGTGCTGGATTGCTACAGGACTTGCACCGGCAGTCGAGGACGAAGCACGAATCTAAATCTTCAAAAAGCTTTGAAAAGCATGGCTTATCCTGTCCAATACAGCTCGGGATGGTGGATGTGGGTCACGACAAAACACATCCTGTCCTCAAGGTTGCTGATGTTATCCAGGCTTTGGCTTCATGCAACAAGTTGTGTTTGCTATGGGGTGCTGAGTCTATGACATCAAATACAGATGTGCTGCCGAAATTCTGGAGACGCTGGAAGTCTCACGACCCGCAGCACGCAGCACTGCAGCACCATCGGGATCACATGGCTTATGTGCTGCCACTGCAACTTCATGCGGACGAAGGGCAAACCCTTAAGAAGACTGGTGTCATGGTGATAAATTGGCAGTCGCCGATTGGTTTTGGGGTTTCCACATCGGATGATTGCCCTGCAGCTATGCAACTGAACTATTGTGGCAGCTCGTATGCAACAAGGTTCTTGTACACGGTCTGCCATAAGAAGTGCTACAGCAAAGACAAGTCCTATGTCCTCACTGGCATCCTGGATCGATTGGCTTACGAGCTTGTTGATTTATTCTACAATGGTCTAACTGTAAATGTTGCAGGCAAGCAAGTGACCTTCTTCGTAGCGCTGCTGGGGCTCAAAGGCGATTGGCCGATACAGGCTCGCATCGGGAACTTGACAAGACATTTCGCCCGAAAGGGCGTGTTTGAGGTTTCTGTTAAGAGTGGTTTTTGCCATTTGTGCCGAGCTGGGGAGCAGGGCTACAACCCCAATGAGTATGGACCATCTGCTGCGTGGCGAACCACGTACTTAACTTCTGTTCCCTGGATTTCGGAAGGACCCCTGTGTCGCGTGCCGCAGTCGCCGGCGAAGGCGCTTATGCATAAGTTTGATCTCTTTCATACGGTTCACAAGGGTGTTTTTGCAGAGCTTGCTGGCAGCGGCATAGCGACGCAGCTTCAGTGTTATGTTGTTTTTTTTGGTTTATACTATACAATGTAACTTGGCAACCCAACTACTGGAATCTATTCAACTCAGGTTGTCATCACAGACTATGCATTGGCAGGGCCTGGTGACATGGCGGTGCAGCTGGATGGAATCTATGCTTTGGCTGTGCAGCACTGCAAATCCACGCAGACGCCGCTGCATATGGATGGGCTCACTCGGCATCTCTATGCTGACTACGATTATCCTGTTGGGTGCCTTTCTTCTTTTGAGCACGATTTCGGTTATAGGAAATAGCCTTCTTTGTTTTCTAAGTCAGGCTTGTTTGTGTGTGGTTATACACATATAAATAAGGAGCTGGTTCAAAGGGGCCGATACTGCGGCCATGTGTTCTTTTCTTGAAGCTTTCTGGGCGGAGCACCTCGCGGCGCATGCAAGCGACTCGGACGAGTACTTGCATGGGATTCTTGAATGCTTGCGGGCTGCGAATATTTTTATGAGGACGTTATATCGGTCAGGACTTTGGCTTTCGCAAGACCGATGTCAGGTGGCTGCTCAGGCCGGGGCATCCTTTCTCAAAGCCTACATCGAAACGTCAAGTCGGGCGTTTGATCGGCAGAAGACCCGATTCAAGCTCACGCCTAAATTTCATGGGCTCATCCACATCGTGGACAGTTTGATTACTGGGTACAATTCCGGCCGGAGATGGACACTATCTCCGTTGAGTGAATCCACGCAATTGGACGAGGACTTTATCGGCCGGGTTTCGTCTACCACAACTGCAGTTAGCTCCAGAAATATGCATAGCCAGACTCTCCGCAAATACCTTACGAACATGTGGGCGGCTGTGCACGGCCGGTGAAAAAAAGTGAGGAGCCCGATGGTGTTGGCTAAGTTTTGCGGGGTTCCAGCTGAAAACACAGCCCTCTTGAAGCATAAACCGCTTGTAAATCTCCAATAATCCCCAACACGAAACCGGCGCCGGATTTCAAAACCAGCTCCTTTCGTCAGTCGCCTGTTATTTTGGGCTACCGGGTTTTCCAGGTAAACCCTAAACCCTAAACCGACTTACATAGCCGTAGAGCAGGCAGCCTTTAACGTGAACCGCTTGCAGGTACGATGTTCCCTACATACTTGTGTATGCCCAAAGGCCCAAAGGTCAACTTATAGCTCCCTTAAAGGACTGGACAAGCAACCCTGAACCCTAAACCCTAAACCCTAAACCCCTAAACCCTAAACCCCTTAACCCTGAACCCTAAACCCTAAGCCCCTAATTTAGAGTCTTCAGATCCGACTTTGGGTGTTCAGGATTCGAAAGGCTTCCGGGTTGTCTCTGTGGCGTTCGTGCGCTATGATTGACTTCTCCGGGCTTTAACTGCGCCGATCATCTTGGGTTGAGTATTATAGAGGCCTACAGAATTACCGATACTATCTTTGGGGGGGGTCCTTATGATAACTTTTTGTATACTATACCCCGAAAGCCCAGCCCTCTATTAAGACCCGTATAGAGCAGTTCTGGGCCAGGTGGCTTGCAGGGTCGAGGTTGCAGGCTGGGCTTCTTGGAGGCTTTGGCATCTTGTTCCTCTTCCCGTGAGGGGCGTTCCTTTATCTCGCCCTCATATTTTTTTTGGGTGCTAGTAAGGTTTAGGGTTAAGGGTTTGATGATGATGACGATGCTGACGATGATGATGATGATGCTGATGATGCTGTTCCTCTCATTGTTCGAAGGCTTCTCGGTAGTCCTCTTCGGCATCGGGTTACCACATATGCCAACACCAGGACCTCAATCCTTCTGTCGCATAGGCCCTCGAGCCTCTGCAAGAAGGCAATCCTTCGCTTGTTGCTTCAGAAGCCCCTTGGGTTTAGGGTTTCGGGTCTTATACCAGATGACTCCAGATTGATTCGTGAGATCCTGACTGCCGAGGGACAAAACTCTGTTTACCTGAAGCATCCTTAACTCACAATTGCACGGCATATTCCCTCTTTGGGGGCAATGCAGGGTTTTGCCCGACGATCCTCGCCGAGAAGAGTACCCCGACGTGTGGGCATATCAACCAAATGTGTAATATAGGGGCCTTAATAATTGCCGATGCTATTTTTGGGGCTTCCTTACGATACTTCTAGTACAAAAATATCCCCCCAAAAGCCTTATTCTAAGTGTTAAGGCCCATATATATATATATACATACATATATATACATACATATATATACACATAAAAAATATATATATACATACATACATATATGGTGACCCTGGAGCCCCTCCGAAAGACTAAGACCTAGGTCGTCGGCACAAGCCCTCAACCCTAAGCCTTTCCGAAAGCTCGTGACAACGGGTTTAGGGTTTTAGGGTTTAGGGGTTAGGTTTTAGGGTTTAGGGTTTAGGGGTTAGGTTTTAGGGTTTTAGGGTTTAGGGTTTAGGTTTTAGGGTTTAGGGTTTAGGGTTTAGGGCGTCTCAAGTCTCTAGTTTCCTTAATGCCCCATGAAGATCTTGCAAAGTCCCCTCAAAACCGCGCAGCGCTGCACAATGCAGAACCTTGCATCCCTAAAAAAACATGGACCGAGGTGCCTGCCCGAGTGGGAGTTTACAGACATCCGTTGCTCCCGGGAGTCTAGGAGAAGCATTCACTAGGTTGGGGGTGGTTTGGGGTAAACTCATCCCTAAACCCTAAACCCTACAGCGTCAAACTCATCGTAGGATGGTTGCTAGGCCGCTAGGCCCTCTCGATCTGTTCGAGGATGTCTGGTAGTAGAAGTGTGGCAACACAAGTACTTTGGTTGGGATTTTCAAGCAATCGCAATCGCAGCTACCTTGCATATGTGTTATTCCTGGTTAAGAGTGCCTTGCAGGTAGCTAGGAAACTCAGTTCATTTTATGGGAGATAAACCCTAAACCCTAGACCCTAAACCCTAAACCCTGAACCCTAAAATCCTAAACCCTAAACCCTAAACCCTCAACCCTTTGACCCTGGTCCTAGCACTTCTGTCTCTTCTGCTCTATGCTTGTCTCTCGGTGCAGTCCGAGAATATTATTCCGGTTTTTGGGGGTTTAGGGGTTAGGGTTTAGGGGTTAGGGTTTAGGGTTTTGGGGCTTTGAAAGCCCAGTTAGGCATTCTATGGCTACCGGCCACCGAGTTCAAGATTTCTGAAGGAAGGGGCCTAGTATAGGGGCCCTCATAATTAGAACAGGGTATATTTATACTATAATTATAATAAGTAACCTAAGTAACCCCAAAACCCTATTCTAATCATTAAGGCCCCTGCCTTCGGCGTTCTGTGGTTACCGGATACTGAGTTCTAGTAAGTTCCGGGAGCAGATGCCAAACTTCTGAAAACGGGGCCTCCGTGGACAGACGCTGGGAATGGAGGATCGGGGCTTCAGCCAAAACTCCTAAACCCTAAATTCCTAGAAACCCTAGATTCCTCAGCCCCTCAACCCCTAAACCCTAAACCCCTCAACCCTTAAGCCCAAAATCCCCAAAAAATCTAGCGACCTGCGGTGCGCTGGGCTTTTCGGATCACCAACAGGGGCGCCGACCGGTTCTATGGAAGGTTTGCAAGGGTTTAGGGCTTTAGGGACCCAACTGCCCTTCATCCTGACAGCACTCCATGAGCAGCCTAAACCCTAAACCCTAAACCATTTAGGGTTTAGGGTTCAGAGCTTTAGGGCTTTGGGGCTTTAGGGCTTTAGGGTTTATAGGGTTTAGGGTACTATCTTGCACCGATCTTGCCGGACCCCGCCTTTGCCATGCGCCCTTTCCAAAACATGGCGAAGGCTGCTGCTCTTCGAAGATTGCTAAGAGAACTCGTCCACTTATTGTTGAGGCTGATGTTTTGGGGTTTAGGGTTTTAGGGTTTAGGGCTTGGAGTTTTTGTTTTCATACAGGTCTCCACAGACTTGTTTGTTTTTTTTTACTGCTTACGTTCTCCCAAACCAGAGAGACCCAATTTTGCAAGTCTCTTGGAAGCGCCTTGAGCTTCCGACCATACTGTGGAGCCCTGATTAATTTGTTTAGGGTTTTGGGGCTCCTTAAAGGGTTCTATAAGGGCTACTATAAGGGTTTAGGGTTTAGGGGCCGTAACTCTCAGAATAGGGTTTGGGGTAGATTACACGATAAATATGATGAGGAGCCTGCAGAACCCTGTTCTAATTCATAAAGCCCCCGCAGTCGGCCTCCTCTGCTAAATTGCATTGCGGATCTGAATGGCAAGGCAAGTACAGAAATTTTTGAGTGGGGCTTGGCTGTCAGGGCCTTATAGATATTACTTTCGGCCCTAAACCAATATGTTATGGCTAGGATCTCAAGAAAGAAAGGTGACCAGCATAAAGCACCAAAAGCGGAAAGCAAGCCAGAAGATGCCAAAGCCGAAAGGCCAGATCCCTGGACCTTCAACCCTAAACCCTAAACCCTATACCCTAAACCCTCAGGCCCCCGAAGTCCTATAGGCTCTTGATCCCTACACGCACAACCCCCGCCCCCAACCCTGAACCCAAAACTCCGGACCCAAACCCCAAACCCTAGACCGAAACCCTAAACCCCAATCCCTTATCCCTAAACCCCTAAACCCCTAAAGCCCTAAAACCCTAAAGCCCTAAACTCTAAGCTGTGGAGAGCAGCCTCGCCCGCTAGCGGCATAGGTGCAGGAGGACCTACGAGGTTTCGGGGTGCTCCGCCTGGGCGGGTGCTTGCTAGGGCTCATAGATTCTTCTGTAGGGTTCTGCTAGACTGTTAGAACTTGTCATTTCCGTTACAAAGCTTTATCGGTTGTGAAGGGGCGTTTAGGATGTTTTTGGTTTCATCCAGTTTCTGGTTGAACACAGGGTTGCTCGTTTCTTTGTTATTATAGTTATGTCTTCATCCTGTGACGATTCTATTACCAGAGTTCTTGCTCTTGCATGCTGTTTGGTTCTTAGTTCAGGACCGTCGGTAACAACAAGAAGCCAAACAAAGCGCCAGTAAACCTTGTTGAGTTTAGGGGTTTAGGGTTCTCTACTGCCTCGTTACTAGTACAAGCCCACGACCCGCAATCCTAAACTCTAAAACCCGCACCCTACGCCACGTCGAAAGCACGGCGGCCCGGGCATGAAGCAAGACGGACCACATCGTAGCCTCCTTCTGCACTGTTTCATGCGACCAAGGATCCTAAGTACCTACGTCGTGTGAAGTATGGGGTTCTCTCTCTCTCTCTCTCTATATATATATACATACATATACATATTTTTATTTGTTTATCTATTTACTTATATCATCATGTATGGCGAAAGTTTGTGTAAGTATAATCCTCGAATTACTCTGAAGCCGGAGGTTTCAAAACAGATATGCATATATATATATATGTATGTATATGTATATATATATATATGTATATATATACACATATACATATGTATGGTGTATATACATAATATGTGGGATCCGGGCATTTTTGCTGAGTAGTGGGATATTGCTTATAAGGAACAAAGATAGAGTGTCCATTTTTCCTGGAGCACCCGTTTGCTGCAGGGATCATAGTGCCACATAAACCCAAAACCCCTGTTATTTGACTTAGTAAGGCCCTTATAGCACAGAAGCCTTGTAGGAATCTCGATGGTACCCTTCATAGTGACCCCTTATAAGGAATGCAAAGGAGGAACCCTCTTCTAAGTACAAACAGCGGCCTTTAATTACGTATAATCCTTCGGGCTCCTCATGCTTCCAGGTTGGGCTTTGTCCCTTGACGGGATGTCCGGCCTCGGATTGTAGATCTCAGGGTTTTCGGGGTTTGGGGGGTTTAGGGCTTCAGGGTTTTGGGGGTTTAGGGTTTAGGGTTCTAGCGTTTAGGGTTTAGGATTTCAGGTTTTGCGGGTTTAGGGTTTTAG